ATGGGCGCTGAGCGCGTCAAGGAGGCAAAAATTCAAACTCTGAGAAGTGAGTTCGAGGGTCTTCGCATGCGTGAAGCGGAGACAGTGGATGATTTTGCTGCAAAGCTGACAACTGTTGTCAACAAGATTCGTGCATTGGGCGACAAGATAGATGAGGTCTATGTCGTTAAGAAACTTCTCCGTGCAGTCCCTTCCAAGTTCCTTCAGATTGCATCCACCATTGAACAGTTTGGCAACCTCAACACGATGACAGTTGAGGAGGTCATCGGATCGCTCAAGACCCATGAAGAACGATTGCGTGGCTATGGTGACAATGAGGAAGAACACGTCCTATTGACGAGTGCAAAGTGGAAAGGGAAACAAGCGAAAGGAGAAGGAGAGAGCTCGTCCAATTCATATAAAGGACGAGGAACTAGTAGCGGACGCGGTCGTGGCCGTGGGTGTGGCCGTGGTCGTGGTCGCGGGCACGGTGAAGGTGGTCGCTGGAATGAATCCAATCATCGTGAGAGAAAGTTTGACAAGACCAGGGTGAAGTGTTACAATTGTCAGAACTATGGACATTTTGCCTCGGAATGTCGTTCTAAAAAAAAGGATGAAAGGGCTCACTTGGTGGAGGTGCAAGGGGATGATGATGAACCAGCTCTCCTGGCGACAGAAGTCTGCGAGAGTGAGGACCTTGCACAGCTGGCAACAGAGGGAGTAATGCTCTATGAGGAGAAAGTGAAGCCAAAGCTAGACGGAGAAGAAGAGGTGGTGCACGAGAATACTGTTTGGTTTCTCGACACAGGAGCAAGCAACCACATGACAGGCTGCAAGAAGTGGTTTTCAGAACTTGATGAGACTGTAACGGGCAAAGTCAAGTTTGGGGACGGCTCTGTCGTGGACATTCAAGGAAAAGGCACTGTGATGTTTCAGTGTCAAAATGGTGAGCATCGACTCTTTACAAGTGTTTATTTCATACCTAGGCTTCGTAGCAATATTGTAAGTCTAGGTCAATTGGATGAGAATGGATGCAAGACTGTGATAGAAGATGGATGTCTAATGGTGTATGATAGATCTAGAAGGTTGCTGGCAAAAGTGAGAAGATCAAGAAATAGATTATATGTCCTGAATCTGAAAAAAACTCACTCAGTGTGTTTAATTGGGAAGTTAACTGAAGCTGAATGGTTGTGGCATGCTCGTTATGGCCATTTAAACTTCCAGGCATTGAGGAACATGACGAAGAAGGGAATGGTGACAGTAATGTCTGTCATTGATCATGTAATGCAAGTGTGTGATGGGTGTGTGGTGGGAAAACAACATCGCACATCATTTCCCCATAACTCAAGCTTTCGGGCTGATAAACCACTTCAACTTGTGCACTGTGACCTGTGCGGTCCAATTTCTCCAACGACTCTAGGAGGCAATAAATATTTCATGCTGATTGTAGATGACTTCAGCAGATATATGTGGGTCGAGATTTTGAGAAGCAAGGATGAAGCATTCGCTGCTTTCAAGAAGATAAAGGCAGGAGCAGAAATGGAATCAAATTCAAAGCTCCAAGCCCTGCGGACAGATAGGGGTGGCGAGTTTACGAACACCGCATTCAATGAGTATTGTGAGCATCTGGGCATCAAAAGATACCTTACAGCACCATATTCCCCTCAACAAAATGGTGTGGTCGAGCGGAGAAATCAGACTGTTGTGGGCATGGCTCGAAGCTTACTAAAGAGCAAACATGTTCCATCAGAATTCTGGGCTGAAGCTGTGAAGACAGCAGTATATATACTCAACAGAGCTTCGACAAAAAGTGTGGAAGGTGCAACACCTTACGAGAAATGGACTGGCCACAAACCCAAGGTACATCATATGAGAGTGTTTGGTAGTTTAGTGCACGTAAAGACTGTAAAACCACACATGAAGAAACTAGATGACAGGAGCGTGCCAATGGTGTTCTTGGGGTATGAACCAGGCTCAAAGGCATACAGGGTTTATGATCCTAATGCAAAGAAATTGCATGTAAGCAGGGACACAATATTTGAGGAAGATAAGGAGTGGAATTGGGAGTCTGTACAAGGAGAAGGAAGATTTGGAGCTCACTCACATGACGTGTTCACCGTACACTATGAACATGAGCCGGCTGGGAGTGTACAAAACACGGTTGATCATGCAGGTGAGAATGTTGAAAATACACCAGTATCTGTGAAATTTTCTGGAGGTGCAGCAGCGAATTCTGGAGGTGCAGCAGCGAATTCTGGAGGTGCAGCAGCGAAATCTTCTGGAGGTGCAGCAGCGTCGTCTCACTCCTCATCGGGACATGATCAGTTGGAAGAGACAGCAGATCATTCAGCAAGCTCAGAGAGACCACGTAAGTATCGTTCTCTACAAGAGGTATACAATGATACAGTTGAGGTGGATGAAGAAGCAGGTCTATGTTTCCTATCTATTGATGAGCCAGCAAGTTTTGAAGAAGCAGCAAGCAATGAAAACTGGAGACAAGCCATGGCCGAAGAAATTGCAGCCATTGAAAGGAATAATACATGGGAATTCGCAGAATTACCAGAAGGACATCGAGCTATTGGTTTGAAATGGGTATACAAGGTGAAGAAAAATCCTGAAGGAGAGATAGTAAAACACAAAGCTCGACTCGTGGCGAAGGGATATGTACAAAAACAAGGAGTGGATTTTAATGAGGTATTTGCTCCTGTTGCACGATTAGAAACTGTAAGGCTCTTAATTGCTTTGGCAGCACAAGAGAGCTGGGAAGTACACCACATGGATGTAAAATCTGCATTTCTAAATGGCGAGCTAGAGGAAGAAGTGTATGTAGCACAGCCCGTTGGATTTGAAGCCAAAGGCCATGAGGGACAAGTGTTGAGACTGAAGAAGGCATTATATGGACTACGTCAAGCACCTCGAGCATGGAATTCGAAGCTTGATAAGTGCTTACAGTCACTGGGGTTTATCAAGTGTCCTATGGAGCATGCTGTGTACAAGAAAGAACTGAGGGGTGAAATTCAAGTGATTGGTGTGTATGTAGATGACCTTATTATCACTGGGTCAAGTGTCGAACACATTGTGAAGTTCAAAGAACAGATGAAGAAGCTGTTTGACATGAGTGATCTTGGATTATTAAGCTACTACCTGGGCATTGAAGTGAAGCAAAATGCACATTCCATCACACTGTCTCAGTCAGTATATGCCTTAAAGATACTTGAGAAGCTTGGGATGGCCGAATGCAATCCCTGTCAAATTCCCATGGAACCAAGACTTAAAATGAGTAAACTGAATGTCAGTCCTCCAGTTGATGTTTCTTTGTATAGACAGCAGCAACATGCCAGGGTATTTGGCTTGGGCGATTGTTGAGTGAAATTAAGGGAGGTGAACCTGTCAAAGCAGTCCTCAATGTAGACAACAAATCAGCCATTGCTCTCACGAAGAACCCTGTGCATCATGACAGAAGCAAGCACATTGATATCAAGTATCATTTTATTCGTGACTGTGTTCAAAAGGAAGAAATTGAAGTGGTATATGTGAAGACTGAAGATCAACTTGCTGACATTCTGACGAAGCCACTTGGTCGTCAAAGGTTTGTCGAGCTACGTGAGAAGATAGGACTGAAGGATGTGAAGAAGTTGCAACAAGATTAAAGGGGTGAATGTTGAATTAATCTTGTTAAGATAGTTTTATTTACTTCATAGGTTAGTTAGTTGGTTATTTAGTTGGTTATTTTCCAGTCAGTTATCTTTTCAGGTTTCCTGTGCACGTTGTGCACGTTTGCACATCTTATTGTATTTAGTTTTTTTTTATGACAGAAAAGTGTGTGTGTTGTTGCAGTCACCAAAATCAGTTCTTCTTCTTCTTCTGTGTGTGTGTGTGCATTCATCTAAAGGAGAAATTAATTCTAACAGTGCCTAGAAGTCTGGATATAAATGCACAGAATCAAATAAAACACAAAATGACATTTGAGCACAAAACTACGAGATGCATGCATAACGGAAAATAAATGAGCGTGATAACAGATGATATGCGTAACGATCCATGATGTATAATAAAAGTTCATAGCATATTGACATAGAATTAGAGCATAAGCTCATTTGAATTTGGAATTAGTAACAGCAGTCCTCTGCCCGATACGAAGGTAAAAAAGAATTTCTCCCACAAAGTTGAAGAGTTGTGCCCCAACCCGAAATCTTTACGCCACCAGCCAAATGCCACTTTCTACTCTCAAATCTCTCTACCGCTGACATGGTGAATTATATGATTAAGATGCTGCATATATTTATTTTATCAAACAAATATTATAATTTCCATTGTAACAAACCAAAAGATTGATAATGCCAAAGGGGAAACAACAGCATGAAGCACTCTTTGCTTGGGAACTAGAAGCTGGGACTTTTGCTTTGGAGTATTAACTACTTGTCATGGAATTTGAGGCTCTTTTTTGTTGGGTGCTGACTCAAACTCCATGTTGGATTCGGGTTTAAAGACTAGAAATTTTAGTAGTTTTTTTGGAGATCAAATTGACTTGGTGGGCAAGCCAATGGTGTTTTTAAATAAGATATCGTATTCTACGATTTTTTTTATAGAGAAGGAGAAAGAAACAATATTCTTGTAACCAGGGCTTATCGGGGTGTAATCAGTTTCAAGGATATTGTGAGAGAGAAGAGGGTTTTGCTGTCTTTATTTCGTGCAAAAGATTGTAATTTGATGATGATAACAGATTGTTTTCGATCCAGTGGTTTTTCTCTATTGAGGGTTTTCCACGTTAAATCTTATATGTGATTCTGTTTGTTGTGTTTAGTGGTTTTTGAGATTTTTCGAGATCTAAAAAATCCCATCACTTTCTACAATCTATTTAAACCTCACAAAATGCCCTAACCCAAGCGATGCTAACTACTCTCTCTCTCTCTCTCTCTCTCTCTCTCTCTCTCTCTCTCTCTCTCTCTCCAAGTGGTATCTGATGCTATAGAGGCAGGACCACAGACAGAAGGAGAAACAACCCTGCAATCTAATCTAAAGATGAACTTTCTCAACTACCTTAACTGATAGCTATCCCTGTGTCTCTTCTCTTATTGGCTGAGGATCCTCTAAACAAGAAAATCTTTGAACCTGGTCGGAAACATGACGGTGAGAAAACATGCATACAACTGTTTCTTTTGTTATGATAAGATCTAAAGTTAATCTTCGCTTCTAGTTCTGTTAGTTTATTCAACTGTCACTGGATTCAGTGTTTCCGGTCTGGTTCTTGGATGCAGATATTCAACTGGATGCAAAACAAGCTCATCGGAAAACAAGAGAAGAAGATATCCAACTCAAGCCCAGCTTTCCCTCATAGTTAAGTGACGATTCAATTTCACCCTGTGTTCTTTACTAAGAAGTGCTTTTATCGTTGCTAGACTAAATTGATGGTGTTGATTTTATTAAAACTTCTGGTAGATGTAGGCATAGCACCTATGGCATGGCGTTTTCTACTTCGTACGAAATATTTTTTGACCTGTTTGGATGGAGGGTAGAGAAGGAAAGGGGAAGTGAAATTTTGGTTTAGTTTTGTTTGAGAGTTCCATTTAGAAGGGTAGAGGAGGAGAATGAGCGAGAAAATTGAACTAAAATCTTACCCCCCAAATTGGGGGGTAAATTAAAGAAGGGGAAGGGAGAAGGAAGGGAAAAAGTTTCCCTTCCTTCCCTTCCCTTAGTCATCTCCCAAACACATCATTAGAGTTGGAATAGAGAGTTAATATGACTATTTTAAACGAAGATTAGGCGTGTTTTTCCTGTAGAGGTGAGTTTTATATTTGTGATTCACTAGCTTCTCAGCTATCAAGAAATCCCAAATGCATTATATGCACATTAATTAGTACATAAAACATAAAACAGAATGCATCAAAAAGCACGTCTGTAAAAAAAAAGTGTTAAAACTTTTATCTATAACGTACTCATTCAACTCTTAGTCCTCTCTTTGAAGGTAAAAGAAAAGAAAAGAAAATTGATGTTAAATAGTGGCAGTTTAATTGGTTTTCAAACACTTAAAAACTAAGGGCGAATCAAATCGTTGGATCATTTGATCTAGAAGTGGGCCATATTTTCCTCTACTGTTTGACCTATGTTTATAACTCAGTCGTTTCTCCTTGATAGTTACCTTAGAATTACGTTAATCGCCAGAGTTTTATCTTTTTTTTTCTTTTTTTCCCTCTTGTAAATTTGTTGTAATATTCAAGTTAAGGTCCTCCTTCATATATATACTCTGACATCAGACGCTCGAAAAGAAGAGTTCGATGACTGGCCTCAAACATTGCTCGCTATTGGGACGCTCGGGGACGATAAAATGAAGGAAGACGCATCAAGAAAAGAACCATCCACGAGCTCACAAGCATCAAAAGACCTACCTGAATTCAAGTCAGAAGAAGTCGACAAGCTGCGAAAAGAGCTAACCGAGCTACTAACGCGAAACCAGCTGAAACCTAGCACGGACGATGAATCGGAGCGAGGGAAAGAAGGGAGAGCCAGCCTCCTTTTAGACACTGATGGGGCTGCTTGTGCAAATATCAAAGAAAATTTGTCCAGCGGCGACGACGACGACTTTGAACCCTCAACCGACACAAAGATCATCTTAGCGAGAGTGAGGGACTTGCTGGCTGATAACATGATAAGCGGAAGTAGGAAGACATCGCTCAAACTCCTACTGAAGAAGATGTTTGCGTGCCACGGCGGCTTTGTCCCGACTCCGAACATCAAGGATCCACTCCCTGAATCAAGGATGGAGAAGGTATATATATATATCTACATCTGTTAACGTTGTTATCATTTGGCAGCAGTCTCTCTGATTAATTATTTAATTCCTGCATATTATTTTAAAGATTTTGCGGGCACTGCTCCACAAGAAAATATACCCTCACGGCTCAGCGCAGCCAGTGATGAAGAGGTTTATGAACAGGCGGTCGGCGGTTAAGAGGTACTTGGAGAGCAAACCAGCGGAGAGACTCCGGGCAGAGGAAACGAAGGAGAAAGGAGAGGACTCAAATAAATGGGTGAAGACAGATTCTGAGTGTAAGTCACAGACATATTACAACAACAATATTGGATCGTTCGTTATATATAAGCGGTCGTCAAATCGGACGCTGAATGGTTTTTATTTATTCGTCATTTCAGATATTGTTCTCGAGATCTAGGCACACCGGAAGTGCATGGATTCTGGTAACTCTACGTGTTCGCACCATCTATTGAGTTGAATAATTGTTAGTTTGAGCTCAGGGTTAATTTTCACATAATAATTTTTGACCAAATTGCAACAGGCCATATTTATTTATTTTTTATTTATGTAGGCAACCTCAATTTGCTTACATATTCTCAACGTCACACTTTTTGATATTTTTTATTTTTTTTTTAAATGTAAAATTACTATAATACCCCTTGGTCTATACCAATAAAAAAAAGAGAGGGGAAGGAGAGGAGGTTTGCAATGAGAGGAGGGTTACAATGAGGGTGGAGAGAGAGTAGGGGGAGGCGGAGGAGGAGCGGAACGAGGTTAGGAAGGGAGAATGTAGGAGGAGGTAAGAAGGGAAAGGAGGTGAAGGGGGAGGAGATCGAGGAAAGGGAGGAAGCGGAGGGGCCATTGATGGAGGGGGTGGATCGAGGAGAGAAAAATAATATAGGGATTGGAGACACCCTAAAAATGGAGGAGATGATGGAGGAAAAAGAGAAGACGCAGAGGAGAGGGAAGCAATGAGGTGGGGGAGGACGGGAAGGGGGGAAAGGGAGACAAGGGAAGGGGAAGATAGGAGAGAAGGAAGAAAATGGAGAGAGAAGTGGCGGTAAGATGAATATTTTTAAAATAAAAAATTTAAACTGAATAGTGACAAATGCGTGACATTGAGAATATGTAAACAAATTAAAACGTTTTACATAATGAATAAATAAATAAACGTGGTAAGTTATAATTTGGACAAAAGTTGATGTGATTTCCATGTAAAAACCCTTAAACATCTAACCTTAATTTTTCTTGATCTTTTGTAGATGAAGCATTTGTTTTCATTAATTGAACCTCTGCCATAGAGAAAAATCAGGAAAATACAGCAATTAATATTGAGGAATTCAATGCTTGTCCAGACAACTCCAATCATAAAATCTCAACAGAAGGATTTTAACGATTTTGGCGGGTTGCTCGTGATCTCAGGATGTCTAGAAGTGGAATTTGTATTATTAATATTTTGATTTTTATACGGGTTTCTTATAGTCATTAAAATCTGCTGCACATGAAACAGTATCTGACTGCTTATGCCGAAAGGATTCACTAGCGTCTAAAATATGAAATAATCTTTTATGGAGGTTTGCAAAGAGTAATATAAAGACTTTTGCAAGAGCAAGCCATATGTTTAACTAAAGAGAGTGTTGAGATGTTGCATGCTCGCATTGGTAAGCATATCTAATAATGGGCATCCTTTTGATGCTAAATTGCTAATGGATATATTAATAATGCATTTGATTATTGATGTCTTAAAGGACTCATTAGCACTTAAGTTATGTAGTTTAGCTTCCGAGGAAATGTGGTGAATAAGTAGACTCTGTTAGCTGGACTGAACAAAATAACGCCCAACCACAACAGGTTTAGAATGTTGTTATTATATTTTACTAGTTTGTGGTCCGTGCAAAGCACGGTATTTTTTTGCTACAGTAATCTCGTTTTTGATTTGGATTTTTGAAAGTGCTACAGTATCCCGATTTGCTACAGTACCTTTTAAATGCTACAGTATATCCGTGTGCTACAGTAACATCTTTAATTAATTATTAGCTAAATATTACTGTAGCATTTACTGTAGTATGAACAGCGAATCTCTGATCCTATTTGTATAAAGGAATAGATTTTGCAAAATAGAAGTTTAGTTATCAATGGATCGATCTATGGAGTTGTTTGGTTGCGAGGAAAGATATCCGGATTTTCAAGCCAGTAACCAAATTTGATTCAAGGTTGATCCAAGGGTCCAAAGTATTCACAACACCTGCTGCAATTTTAAACTTACACTAAGGGGGTGTTTGGCAATCTGAAAATGAATTTAAAATATGTAAGTTACTTTTTTTTTGCAAATGACTTTTACATCCATGTCAGCACGTAAGTGAAATACAGTGTTTGTTTGAAAAATTAAATTATTATCGAAAGTATAATATGAAGATGACGTGGCAAAATAAGATTAATTAGAGAGTATAATTAAAATTATTTAATTAAATTAGTTATATTTTTTTACTTTCATGTGACTTCACCACTTTTTTAGAGGAAGTCAAAATTACATTAAATCATATGTGGCAACTTTCTTGCATCTCACTTTCATAACCACTTACATGAAAACAAACACCTTAATTGTTAAATGAAAGTAACTTTCTTACTTTCATCTTTCACTTGCATGCAAACAAACACCCCCTAACCCGAAGTGTCCAAACAATTCACAGCATTGATGCAACGTTTTTTTTTTGGGGGGGAGGGGGGGGGGGGGTTCCCCCT